CATTGACTGAGATGCTTGAGCGTTATCATGATCATTATTTAATTGATTGATTGAGATGCTTGAGAACACCCTTAGTCGATATTTAAATATCAGCTTAGTTGAGTCGATAAATCTATATCGACTACGTACAAACATTAATTGTATTAAATAAATTAATATTAATAATAAAAATTAACAAAAAAAAAAAAAGCCTTTTTTATTAAACAATGTTAAATTATAAAAGAAAAAATGTTAATACATATCATAAAAGTTTTTTCTGATTTTCTTTGTTTATAATAAACCCACCTTTTACGGATGCATTTTAGTAAAAGCTCTCACCTTGTTAAAAAAAATTGCGCAGTTTTGAAGTTATATTAGTTTACAATAAAAAAATTAGCTTTTAATATTTTTATACTTTTTGATTCGTAAAAATTTCAACAATTTTAAGGATCATAATGTACTCAATTTACTGCGCTTTTCAAATTACTGTGATCGTCAGATGATTGTCCATCACACAGAAATCTGTAAAATTCCCTTAAATTTATAATTTTTTTAAAAATTCCCATTCAACAAGCCAGAATTCCAAAGATTCCTTGTTAAATTCCAATTCTCTGATGCATTACCCATTAGTGTACTATATCTTGTGATGCTCAGATCAAAAAACACTAAAATTTTTTAATTTTTTTATCTAAATTTTCTCAAACTTCAAGTGAGTTTATTTTGGTAATAACGGGTTGTTTTCGATATTCGAAGCTATTTTTTCAAATTCTACAGACTAGTAGAATTCGAAAATAATCTTCTACATTGAAATTAACCGGGTTATCGTTGAGAAATCTTCAATTAAACTTTTAAAAATATTTAATATTAGAATTTTATACATAATATACGCAAAACATTTGGCTAGTATAATTTTTAGCCAATCACAGGGTTTGCGTTTTAATAGATTTCTGATTCCCAGATTTCCCATGATGTGTGATGTATAAAAATCACTAAACACTATAATTTGAAAAGCGCAATAAGGAACATAATGTACTGGGGCTAGGTAAGGTCTTAGGTGAAATTTTAAAAAAATGTAAATTCGGCAATTTGCGTAATTTATGAAAATAATAAATTTTGGATATGACAAATCGTGTGCCTGGTAATGGCTGTTACGTAAATGCCATAATTATCATAACATAATTGTATCTTGCACGTCCTTACAGACGTATAATAATTGCTTTTTGAAGCCAATCTGAATATTTTTACCACAAAAAGGCGCATTGACTATATAGTATAGATTTGGTTATGCTCATGGTTATTTACAATACGCATGGTTATTTGGCGAACTATATATGTATCCTGTTAGCGTACGTACGCATATTCTTTATAAGATTACGAGTTGCGCGGTTACTTATTGGCAATATCAGACATTATACCCGTTACGACCATTACATCCCATTACGACAATTACACCATTACTTCTATGACTCCTATTGTTCCTATTACGGCAAAAAATTACAACTTCGAGATGAAAGTTCTAGTAAACCTATTATGACAGGCAATCTTATATTTTATAAAATTTCTGAAAAATTTAACAGTTTGTTTATTATATTTTAACTCACGTAATTTTAGCATAGAAAAAAATCTTTTAGAAGCATAATATTACAAGTAAAGGTCGTGTCAGCTTTACCACTAGCGTGTGTTCTTTTCTTCTATCTAAGCCGACTAACCTGTTAAAACAAACGGTTAGATCACTTTATTGTAACAATGACTATATTGGTACGTATGTAAATAAAATATCATGATTTATACCTGTACGTAATATTTAATTGACGCCAATCGTTATTGTGATCAGTATTAAAAAAATTTATAAGCCCCTTATCTTCCGTTATTTTCTAAAAATGACAACTACTTTCAAGAGGCATTCTATCTTATTTTTTTCTATTTTAACTTTGTTTTTGACAGCTTCTTTACTCAGTTACGGCATAGTCATGCCAGAATCAGCATATGTCTCCGATCCTAATAAACCACAAATCAAAGTGACATTGTCGCAGGATGTTTCAACACATTCTCTAGAATATCCAATTGGTTCAACTCAAACTGCTAAATTTGATTGTTCTAATATTTCTGGAGATCGTAAGTTTCATAACTAAAATAAAAACGCGAAACTCTTACATTCTTTTCTAATTTAAATTTTTTTTTTCTTTTTTTGGTGTAAAGCTGAGATATTAATCCAAGCATACAAACTTTTTCCAACAATTCCGGAACCAACTTATCTTGATGTTTGGCCATCTCCAATGGTAAATATTCCAATATAACTTTTATATATTTCCTTGAAATGAGCTATTTAATGTTTATTTTTTTTTTCAAAAAAAGACCGCAAAGCTATCCCAGAAATCAATTACGTTTTGTGTTGATTCAGCTCTCTTTTCACCTGGTGAGTGGTATGTCATACGAGTCTCGTTGGTCACTGATGATAAAATTGCTGCGATTTCGGATCCATTTTGTGTCAAATAAATAACATTTGGGAATTTGACACCATTCAAAATATACTGTTTATATATAAAATTGAAATGATAAAAAATTTTTTCCATTTTTATTCTATAGTTCTCTTAATATGTATATAGATAAATAGATGAAAATAATAGTGAAATGTATTAATCCACTCCCAGGATCTCAATTCATCTCAATAGTAAATGGACAAAAATTATTTTTGCAAATTCCCTCTTGGGATTACACACTAAAGTCATATAAAGTGTGCACTTATAAGATTTTGGCTGTAGAAAGGATTATAAAAGCCATAATTTATAAATTTTACTGTAAATCACCAAACCTATCGGTGACTTACCAAGTAAACATATTTTATGTTTTACCATCCCGGTATTACACTATCCTTTCTTTGACTTTAATAGTCAAATTTATGACTAAGTTTCCAAAGTGATTCGGTAACCTCTAAAGGGTTAGATAATTTACTATTTACAACTAGAGGTGAGATCTGCCTATTCGTTCAGATAACGGATTTCATCCTCGGATAAACCAGATAACGATAACAATAAATACAGAATAAATTTTTTAATTAGTAATGCTTATCGACTATGTAGATAATAGTGCTTAAACGTACGTACGTACGTAATACCATCATCACTTCTGCAATTCGTATATAAAGGATCATCTACTGTATGCTTAGAAAAACTTTTCAAAAGATTACCTTGATACAAAAATTTTAAATGTTTGTGAATCACAAAATAAATATTTCAATCACATTCAAACATTTTAAAATATATATGGTCGTTATATATATTTTGTAATTAACTAGCAAACACTAATATAGTCCATGTTATTTTCAAAGTTGATTAAAATGATTTATCAACCATCAAAAAAAGTTTTTTATACGTGCATGTTTTAAGTAAAGAAGATCTTGAAAGATAAAAACAGATTTTCAAATTCAGATATAATCAGGTCACAACAATTACCTATCATGATAAACTCTGTCATTATCTGTTATGTCATGGTTTAACTCAACAAGTCAAATTTTGATAAACAAAATTATCCTTGCAATCAATATTATTATCTGTTAAATATTAGAAAGAAGAACAATTATATACTAAAAAGAATTAAATTGAAAAAATACTGTAATAAAAACATAAAAATAAAAACAAAAGTTTGTGAATCAAATATATTATTAATCAAAATATATTGAAAAAAAGATATTGAAGAGATGACTTGGATTAATAAGATATGTTTATAATACTATTGTTAGATGAGATAAAAATTATTATTCTTGTTCTAAATATTTAAATAGATAAAATTTTAAAATTTAATAAAAAATTTAAATTATATATAGATATAAAAGAAGACAGATTCTAAAAAAAAACGATAAATAATTATAAAAATTATATATAAAAGAAACAAATTTTTTATATATCTTAAAGTTTACACAATAAATTATAAAATAAAAATCAGATAAAAATAAAATTTATCAAAAAACAATTAAATTCTTAACTAATAAATTTAGAGAATTGATATTGCCACCCCATTTTGCTAATGCCACCCCCAGAAATCATAAAGTGCTCCGAAATAAAGATTATTATTAAGTAAACCTTTCTTTTTGATCTTAATAAAAGTTGTTCTTCAACCTTTCCGGTTCTAATGGTAGTAAAATCATTACAATCGGACCAGTAGTTTCTAAGATATTTAAATAACAATACTTCTTCCGGTGCATTTTTTAAATTTTTGGGGGTGGCAATATCAATACTCTAAATTTAACATGATTATTATCTTTCTTTTGAAGTTTTAAATATAATGAACAGAAAAACACAAAGATATCAAGAAAAATAGGTAGAAAAATGGTTTGTTGGTCTTATTATAAGTTCTAACAAAAATTAATTTCAAAAACAAAAAAAAAAAAACTTTATGTAATAATTAAAATGAAACTTACTCAAAGACATGTAGTTGATGTAAAACATTAAAAATATTAGAGGATCAGAGATATTTAATGGCACTCGAGGGATATTCCTTCGGGCTTTGCTTGATGGAGCAATGGTCTTATCATAAGACATCTTCATGCAGAAAATTATATCTTTACTTAGTAATACTTAGTATTTATTATTGTTGATATGTTAGTATCCATCTGTACAGAGGATTATAGATTTTATCCCTTTCGTGTTATGATGTAAGCATCATAAACTCAAATTAAAATTCAGTCAATAACAACTCGCAAATATGCTCATGAACAACATGACGGATAACCAGATAACAGTATAAATTAGTAACATTCGAATTATCTGTTCGTATAGCTAAATTGACTCCATCCTTATTTACAACCTTCAATATTGCAGACGATATTATTGTAATAATATGGAAAGAACATACAATCATTTTAATAAAAATACACAATAAGATACCCAAATTCTATCATTCTAATCCTGGAGGTTTCTGACAAGTGTTTAGTGATCGATTCAAAAACAAAGATGTGCATGTATTGTTATCTTGTTCGTTTTAACAAATGATCTAATATTACAATTAATAAATTATATCATTCATTCATTCCTTTTTATGCAAATAACATCCGTAAGATTGAATAGATTGAATATGATATTCCTTTACAATATATCATTGATTAACGAATAACAAAAAACTTGTAGTTAGGAAGAGTAAACTTTATATTTAGAACCATAAGAAACATTGTGCTTAGAAACTTAATTGTTATACAGTAATACAATGATTTTTTTTATTACTATTATTGTTAAAAAGGATTTAAATGAAAAATATTTTAATCCTAAATCTACAAAATATTTATTCGGTCATATTGACCGTGTAACTATACATATTAACACACTAATATTTTACTAATTAGCGTATACTATTGATATCAAGCTTACCAGCCTTTATAGTTTACAATGATAATATCCAAAATTTTTGTAACTTCATGACTCGCATGATTCGTTATAATACTTGACAAATTAACCAAAATTCTAAAAAAAATTGACAATTCAATTTAATAATCGGAATTAATTTTCTCTCAATGTAAAAGTTATTTAAAATAAATAACTTCATGTTTTAGTAATCGTAATGAGTTTCGAAATAATCTTCTAATAAATTCAAAAAAGTTACTTCAGTTAATATTCATAACCTTTCTCTAGCAGAATACTGAACTCACCATAAATAGGATCTCCAAAATGTTTAACTTGTTTAATTATTGGTATAATGCTTCTTGCCATAGATAACATATTTTCTGAAAAACTAGTCATATATCTGCTCTTTCTCATCTCGTATCTAAGTTCCTTGAGGCTTCTTCTGGCTATCGCATATTCTAATATAATATATAACACTTCGTCACACGACATTCTCGTTTCGTATAGACTAATAACTTTTAGCTGAACTGGAAATTCTCGTAACAGGTATGCTAAACTGTCTGTCTCTATTATAAAGTTAATTCCGAATGAAATCAAGGTTGATGGAACTGAAATTATGAATTGCTGAAGAATCTCTGACGTGAAATTGAATTTATCGGTATTGTTACGTGATGTTCTGCCGATCGTTAAATGGATTAAGGGAAGTCTCGAGATCAGTTCTAAAAGATTTTGAAGGTGATTTGGCGATATTGAGATTGAAAGAATTGTAATCTTGCTACAATACTCGCCGATGAGGTCCATTAACGCCGGTATTGCACTTTCTAATGTTAATATTTTTAGATTCTCTGTACACATATTGAGTATCAGTGCTTTTGTCATCACTACATCCTCACTATTTACCCAGTCATCATAACAATAAAGTCTTTTAATGTTAAGTATATTTCTTGGTATATTTAAAAGCGACATATCGCTGTCTTTCGTTGGCGAAAGATCCAATAGTTCTAGAGTTTCTAAATTGGTACAACATTTTAGAACGTTAATTAAATCATAATATTCATTTTTTGGTGTGAAACGAAGATAAATTAGTGATTCTGCTTGTTTTAGCATAGCAGTAAAAATTGTTGCTGATGATGACATATTCCAAAATCGATTAAGTGATAATGCACGTAATTTGGTTTGTGATTGGATTAATTGTGCTAATGACTCGATAAAATACGAAGGAAGATGAGTTCTCATTCGATGAATAATTATAGAAATGCTATGTATATTTCGAGAACAAGATGACATTAATGTAAATAATGATGAGAGTCTTTTCGACGTCTCATCCTCAGTCTCAAAAAGATAGAGTAATTCAAATCTTTGAAGTTGTGATAAAACATTTTCGATCCCGGGTATCGTTGCGATATCCAGAAAAGGACCGTAAAGTTCAACATTTAATAGATCAATTTTTAAAATTCGAAGTCCGGATGAACGATTACAAAGACAATATCCAAGAACTTCTCTACAAAGAGTTGTTATTATATCACATGCTGGATTGCTAATTTCTAAAGTTGAAACTGAATCATCAATAGCTTGACGAAAATGTTCAAAGTCGAACGCCCGAAGATATCTTGGATAATCGATAAATGGTTTCGGTAAATCATGAAATTTAATGCCATCTGCCATTAAACGTTGTCTTCCTTGTTCTTCAAGACATGACACGTATGTTCTTATGATTAGTGCGGCCTTTTCCTTTTCTAGTTTATGTGCAAATGGACGATACCAAAGTAAAGGAACAACCATCTTAAACCAGTCCCGGCTCACTAAAAGACATGAATGAAGTGAAGATCTGTCATCTTTTAAAAACTCCAAAATATCAGTAAAATTATCAAACGTAAGCTTTTGCGCAGTCGCCTGTCTTTGCTCAGGTATATAATGTGGATGACATTCTAAAGAAAATCTTTCAATTTGACATCTAAGGCTCTCCATCTTGGAAAACAGTTAATTTTTTGTGTTAATTTGATTAGAAATTTTGGACTTCTCCAACTAGATTTAATCTTGGAAATGACGAACTTACTACTATGGAAAACAGCCTACCGGACCAAATATACAAGTAAAGCTTTTTAACCCACTTCCAACTGCCAAATAATGAAACTATGAAATATTGCAGTGCCGAATTCTCTTATATGGGAATGTACAAGAAGAGAATTAACCACAATAATTGATCACAGAAGTGCGTGCAGACCGCTTTCTGCGCATTACACATACTATGTAATTAAAGGTTGAGAGCCAATCAAATTTGTAACAGTGACAATCTTTCCCTAATAATTAAAAACCACATAATGGATCAACTAGTCACAGACCAATCATATACACAAAAAAATTCAGATCATGTGACCTACTCCCTATAAATTACGAAAAAAGTATTTCATTTTATCTAAAAATTAAAACCCTAATAATTGTTCTCTGCATTGATTCCCAAAGAAATGAAAAAATTGCAATACATAGTATGTTCTAGTTGTAGTTAAGTCAAAGTTAATTGTTTATTTTTATTCCCGAAAAAAAAAAAATTTCGCATATGCAATATGAGCATGAATGACTTACGTAAAATACAATACGTACAAAGAACCCTTTGATTAGACTAAGGTAGGGTTAACGTTAAAATGATCTGGTTTTAATTAATTAGTATTTGCCATTATAGAAATTATCCTAATTCTGGTTAGATTTGATTATTATTAATTCTTGGTATCGTAATTCGAATTAATTTTAATATCCCGATCAACAAATATATCTTTTAATTATCCGGATCTAATAGGAGAGTAGTAAGAGTGCGTCAGCAGAAGGACGTCTTCAATAAAGAAATGATCTGCGTAGTTACGCGATTGTTAAGAATTTTTTTTTTATAAGTTTAACAATACTTTTTTGGCAAACATGTAAGAAAATTTCATTCCCATTAATTACACAATTTTTTATATTACGATTTACTCCACAAAGTTCATTCAAAAAGATATTTTGTGTGAACTACGTAGGCGAAATCCTATTTTTGAAGCTAAAAAAAAAAAAAAAAGAAAAAAAAAACAAGCAATGAGTAGTTTTTGGGCCGGTTGAACAAAATGTTGGGACAAATTACAAATGTTTTCATAAATTTAAGGACAACTGAAAAATTTTTATCGATATAGTTACTGAATCAGTTACCAACGCCGGCCATTATCAGTTTTTCAAAGTGTCCCAGAATTTCAGTTAAAAATTTGCTCGTTACCCGAAATCTTTTTCGGTTTGTCCTGTAAATTATCTAACCCTCCAGATATTACATTGCTGTCTCCGGACTAAAGGCCCGAAGATAGCATCGTAGTTTCGGGAGAGTTAGATAATTTACAGGACGAAACCAAAAAGATTTCGGTTAACGTGCAAATTATCAATATATATGCATATACAGTCAACCCCCTCTATAGTCACCTCCTCTATAGTCACAAAATTAATATAATTACAACATAACTACTGTATATAAAAAATATCTCTCACCTTTTTATAATCACGGATTTTTGTACAGTTATCTAGTACAGTCAACCACTCTATAGTCACCTTCTATATAGTCACAAAATTAATATAATTACAAATTTATTTTTATTAATTCTTTTACAACTACTGTATATACTGTATATAAAAAATATTTCTATATTAGTTACCGTAAATTCTCAAAATAGTGGGCATGTGCATTATTTCGAAAATTGCGCCCTAAAAAAATAGCATATGTGGGTTCAAAATAACGCCCATGCGCGTCCCGAAATAACGCGCACCTCACTATTATGTATTTGAAAAAAACGGATTCAAAAATAGGAAAGTTAAAGAGTCCGTTCGGTCTAATCAAGGCCCAGTTCTTAAAAAGTCTGGGTATAACCCAGCAGTTTAATATACAACATAGATAATTTTGAAAGCGAAATGCCAAAAGTATTCATGACTCACTTTTATCTGGACTAGTTCCGGACCGGCCCTAAAAAGTTCGATCCTAGACCCAGTCCAAACCAGTCCTTCGTGGACTACTAAGCATCCTTATTCAGAAAATCTGCTGATATATTCGAAATAACTCCCATGATTGTATTCGAAATAGCGTGCAGATGCCCACTATTTCGAGAATTTACGGTATATCTTTTTACATAATTATAATTTTTTGTATTTCAAAAATATAACTATAGAAAGGTTTGACATTAATATTAAAATTTTATATTTAGATTGTTATCAATAGAAAATAGATAAATTAATACTTTTTAAAATAAATGTTTTCATAACAACCTTATTTTAGCCAATAGTAGTTAGTGTTAAGGTTTGGATTACACAAAATTTTAGTTATTTTTATTGGTTGTATTAATTAAGTTGTTACAAATAAGTGTGTAACAGGTTGTTACAATTAAATTTGTCCTTTTTTTGAATGAGTTTGCTATTTATCACCACTGGTAATTATTAACATTGTATAATTAACCAATTAATTTGCAAGATTGGGTGTAATGTGCAGATCAGTTTCATATAATAAAACAAAGAAATTTTTTAAAAAATTAATCATATTTTAAAATTTTGCCTATAAAACAACCTTTCAGGTTTTAACAAAAAAATTCTTTGCAGAATTTTACTATAGTTTTTATTTAGCTTTATTATTAAACTTTTACTTTTATTCTAATATCAAAACAAATAAACTTTTGTTTAAAAGTTTATATATTATATCTAATTATATATTGTAAATCACTAATAATAATTACTAGTAGTGATTTGTAATAATTTTTTTTAAAAAATTAAAGATAAAATATAAAATAAGTATTTTTATTTTGATGCAAATAAAGTTTATAATAAATATTTTATAATAATATTATACTAGTAGTTATAATATTGTACAAATTAGTTATAGAATATTATTTCATATTTTTTTTTTCAACTTTGGCAGTCTTGCCAGTGAACCTTTATTAAGATTGTTCTGTTACAGGCTGTACAAAATACTTTAAGCTTAATATTTAGGCCTGACATTCTGTAATTACTTCTTAAAGCACTTACAAGTAATCTGCCGCACTAGGTAAATAAATCTACAAGTGACATATTATGGTAAATTCGAAAACCACCTATTCTAGAAAACCATATTAGACCACCATCCTACCATAAAATATTATCAATCTAATAACATCTTCTCGTAAGGAAGTGAAAAAAAAATATTAACACTAATATTAATACTAAAAGAGAGAAGAGAAAAACAAAAGTAAAAAAAATCTGATAGTCACAATTATAAGCCTGTGTCAGGCTAACAAAAATTACATATTACAAGATAAAGAAGCTCTGTATCTAATTCTATCCTAATAATATATCTAATCCATACTAAAAAAAAACAAAAATAGCAGATTTAAACTAAACTAGACTAAACTAAACAGAGTAGTTAAAAAGTATCAATAGTCTTAAAGTATTGTTTAAATGGTTTCTTTTGGTCGAGGCATGTTGCCTAATTGTGTTGTTCTTTGGATGTGTAATCTAGCCATTCATTAATTTTGTATTCACTTAAAAGTAAACAAACCATTTTAGGAAATAATCAACCCAATTTGGGAGATAAACAATACTGACTATTTTAGAAAATTACGTGTTAATCTGTTGAAAAGAGTAAGCTGAAATGTTCACTTTTTGACAAATTTCTTTGAAAAAAGTGGTGGGCCAACAAAACTTTGTGGGTTTTTCCTTGTAAATTTTACAGTTGTATAGAGACTATTTCTAGTTTTTTTAATATGCTTAGTATTAATCTAGTTATTCTGTGTTTCCAAAATATTCTTCTGGTTTGGATGCTAAATATAATAGAGAAGTCTGCTAGAAAGAAAGCTTAACCTCTATAAAAACTGTTCAAAGTAGTCTGCTTCTTGGTTTTACACTTTTGATACTTCATCAACAACACATCTACTTGTATAAGACCAAGTATATTATCATCTTTTGATATCTTCTATAATGCTAACTGTAGTTTGAATTTTTAGACTTGTTAACCAGAAGATCGTCAGAAAGAGCTTTGTTGTTGTGAATAAATATTATTTTATATTATACAGTATATTATATATTATATAGAATTTAATCATTTTGTACATATGCATTATAATGCACCCTATAAAATTAGTTGTAATATGAAATCAAAACAATGGTTTTTTATATGATTAAGGTAGTTATAAAAAACAGGCTTATAGTAAAATCTTGCAAAAAATTTTTTATAGCTATTAAAAAATAGTTGTATATATGAAATTTTG